AACCACCTCAAACTGTGTTTCATCCTGGTGTTTTTTATCTCAATGATTTTTCCGCGGCTGTTCTCGACACAACCATAGTGATTTATGGTAATTATCCATCTTTGGGGTCATCCATCAAGTGGTTGTTGCTAGGCGATGAGAGCAGCTGTTTAGTTGGGGAAAGCTCAACTGTCAGGGGTAATGTAGGTGAATTCAAAAGATTGCATCTATGTAGAAATGATAAAACCATGGAATGTTTTTGTATATTGGGTTTGGGTTTCATTCATTTTAGATTTAAACAGAACACAGAGCTAATAGCAATCATGCCTATCCAAACAGAAACACATGCAATAGAAATTTAAAATAATAAAGATTTATGTTTTGTATAAAACAAAGTCTACCTATATATATCTGTATATATTTGATAAATTGCATCCGTCTGATATAGCCTCACAGAGTCAATGTTTAGCAGAGGTGGAGGGAATTTCATTCACATAAATGTTAAGCAGCAATGCCTTATCCATACTTTGCTTGAAAGCAAACCAGATGGTTTAAAATGTCTATGCGGCACAAGAGCAACGTTCAGTAGTTTGGTGTCTAGGGTTTGGCAAGAAAGTTGAGCAGACAGGGCTGGAATATGTTGCGGCGATTATCTACCGGCTGTTGTTTCATCTCGGAACAAGTGAGCACTGACAGTTCAGGGAGAAGGTGATTTATAGACCACAGTCACTGTCATGTTATGGCACATTTTTCTGGCACTTCAAGAAAGAAATGGGAACGCATTTGCTTTTTATAGCTAATAACTTCGGTTTTTATGGTTTTTCTGTTTTCTTTTGAATTCACAAATGAGTTAGCCTAATTAAAACGCGTTGCTTTAGAGGATCCATTTAGAAATATGTGTGTCATATACCTTGTTATTATAATTGTATGTCAGGCAGATTTACGCGGAATGCAGATTTTAGCACTCAGTATGGAATAAGGTCAATTCAATAGATGATAATAATTCTCACATGATTTTTGAAAGCACAATTTCTAAATGAACATTGTTCAAACAAGAAAAATTAAACACAATCATCTGGTGTCACATAAAGGTGGTAGACTTCTGTTTCTCATCAAAGCAAGGAACAAATGTCTTTCCATGTTGTTAGTAGAATGAGGAGCAGACTACACTGGCTCTTTTGATTTTCCCAAACGTTAAAGCTCTGGAAACTAAGGTGGATTTTGTACGACATACTGTTTGAGCCATTAGAAACCCCAGAGCTATTGTGCCATATGGCAGGCTATTCTATGTGGGTTAGGGGAGGGAGCAACTAAAGAGGTGCTGTTCGGTAAGCTTTTACACGTCTGGTCAAAGGAGCTAAAGATGTCGCCCGTATTATGACTGATACAGTGTATCTGCAAATGCAATCAGTATTTTGCAAAATCATCTTATTTAACCCTGTATAAAAAGATTTAATCACCTCAGGCAACAAATATGTGCATACATTTGGGACTGATATCAAGGTTTAACATAACTAGGCTGCAAAAAAGTCTCGAATTATTCTCACAGTGTGCATACAACTATCAAATTAGTCACCGGGTACTGTAACTGAGGAAGAGACGGTGGCCCTGTGCCGACAGTGTGCACCCATAGTCAGAGTAGTCCAAGGAAAGTGTCACGTCCTATGAAACCACAGCCAAGATTCCTGTATTTAAAAAAAAAAAAAAAAAAGGGCAGGAATGAAACAGGATGGGGAGGAGAGTGGCGAGAGACAGAGATTGCCTGACATACTAAGCATTACCATAATTGGCTTTTCTACATGATAGGACAGAGGAAATAATAATGTCATTTTATTTACAGCCTTCTCCCCGCTGAAGTGCGCACACACTGATGCACGCCGCGCAGGTCAATGACACACACTGATCAGGCCTGTCCAAAGCCATCAGAGGTGAGTGGCAGGGAATGGAGAGGCCGGTGACAAAGCGAAACGGGAGAGAGAAAATAAGGCTGCCATGCCGGAGCTCCCGCTTTGAAGGGCCTTTAAACATTGCGAGGGGGCCTCGCCGGCCGGCCGAGTGCAGCTGCGGCGCCCGGCGAGCGGGGTAAATCAGCCGGGCGAAAGCTGGCGGAATTGGACATTAGCACTGCAAATGAGAGCCAGGATTGCCCCCTCTTCACTGAGACAACGTGAATAACTTGAAGACAGTGTAAAGGGGAAATGTTGTGCGCTGTGCGGCTTATATAAAAAGGAAAATGGAGGCCGGGGCGGGGGGGAAAAGCTGAATGCGCCATTAAAATCCTGCTTAATGTCACTTTAACCTGAGTCTTTAGTTTCGTTGTTATCGCTAAAATGCATCATGTTTTCACAGGTCAGCGCAGGGCTAATCAGAACCTATCAGAACTGGAATAGTTTTTGGGTTGGCGCATTAAAAACCCACTTTTTTTTTTATGTATGCTGTTTTGTTTCAACTTGTTTGTCTCAAATATGAGTACAAGTGAGCTGATCGCATGAGTGGACATCACAGAACTGTCTTTCTTTAGGGGGAGGATGTAGATTGGAAGGAGTGCATGTTTGCATATATATTGTGTGCATGTGTGTGTGTGTGTGTGTGTGTGTGTGTGTTGGACAGGGGGATGTCCTACTGTGGTGTCACCTGTCTGCAGCAGGAAATCCTGGACTTTGGGCACAACAATAGTGACAGGCTCCTCTACAGACACAGATGGCTTCCATTTCCCCCCACCAGCCACATTGCATCTCCGCTTGCACCTGACACACTGCGACACTTCAGACGCTCGCAAACACACACGCACAACTCATCAGCCACACCTCGCCGACACACTTATACACACAAATAGTGGAAATTTAAATCATCACGGCCTTTTCTTTTTTGCTTCTATTTGTCGTAAACTCCTCTATATCTATTTTTTTGTCAGGTACGCATTCACACACGCTTCTTGCTAGTTGGCCTAAACGCATCTTTTTCTTTCTTTTTTCCCCACTCTTTTCAGAACTTCTCTTTCGCCTCTCCTCTCTGACAGCACAAAGTGGGCTTACATTTTTGACTGACAACCACAACAGACACTTTCTCGCCTCTCCTCCCCTCCAGCCTCCTGTGTTAATCCCCTCCCTTACCCTCTCGCCCCCCTCCCTCTCTTCTTCCTCTTTTGTTCTGAGTGACGCTCAAAAGCCGCCGTGTCAGCATCTTTTCCATCTCTGATTGCCTTATTAGCCGGCGGTGGCACCCGCAGCTTTTCTTACACAGATGGTGAAGAGGGAGGCTCAAGAAGGAGGGGAGGGGGAAGGGGAGGGGGAGGGGGGTGTGGTGGGAGGGATGGCTGACTTGTGTTTGTTGTTGTTCCTTTCCCCCCCCTCCCACCACTTCTCAGGCTTGTTTGTGTGGACACTGACACCTCGGGCTGACACTGACACACTCCCGACACTGATGCCTGCCACGGCAACACACAGAGGATGGCAGGCAAAGAGTAGAATTTAGTGTCCGTCTGCTTCCCGTGTTCGAACGAACGTCGGTAATTCTGTCAGGTTTCTCTCACTTTGTCAGTGAAGCTGTTTTTGTCTTTTCCTTTTCACACTTTGGATTTTGAAAGATCTTAGTTTTGCCTTCATTTCAACACGCCGGGCTGAAATGTGATGGAGATGAAAGAACGTGTCACTGACGCTTTGACTAAAGGTGAAAATATACTGTCTGGTATACTGTTAGTAAAAAAAAAAGCAGCACAGGGAAAGTGTAATTAACTTAGGGGGGGGAGGATGCATGGATGTTCGCTCTGACACGCTTCAACAGACGCGACAGACAGGTGTAGGACCTCGAGCCTTTCCCAGTAGTTACTGGCACCTCGAAAACATCAGGTATAATGTCCATTTCGATTATGGGATAGAGAGCTACATGCTGTTTGAAGCTGACAGCACATCTGCCTCTTCACTAGAGACTGATTCTGGCACAGCAGACAGGCATCGTATGAGGGATGGATGAGAAAAAGCTGCTTTTGCATCTTTTACTCCATTTTTCCCTCTCCCTGCTTCTACATGATATTTCCCTCCTCCCACATTGTACAACCTTTTTCTTCTTCCCCTTTTTAAAATATTTTATTACTGACTATGTAAGCTGGATTTTACTTCTAATGTCGTTATTTGGTGGAATTTAGGGCCCGTTGTTTTAAGAGAGAAATCTGCCACTCGCCAGTGATGACTAATTTCCCCTTCTCTCGTGAAGCGGTACGCTTGACGCTGTGAGTACTCGGGGAGCACAGGCAGTAACAACACAGCTTGTCATGTCCGCTGGCCGTTTCCTAACATCCCGCTGTGAGGACTTCCACAGCCGATGCCAAGCCGACTCCAGCCAACCATGGCTTGGCAAGGCTGATAACGCTGGCATTCACCTCCACGATCTCCCATTTGTTAATCGACAGTATGCGAGACACATTGAAGGGATTGAGCGAATCAAAGACAGGGACGGCTGTGCTGTTCCTATACAGCAGAAAAATAAGTCTGCACTTGCATTATTACAGCTTTTCAATTTAAGAAATATCCTTAAATGCTTTGTTTTTGTTCCCCAGTTAATACATTTTACTTACTCATGTAGACAAATCATTCTGCTCTGTTTATATGAAAAGAAAATTATCCTAATTTCTGTTGAAGAGTAACATGTGCAGCATCTTTGGTGTGCATAATCTACTAAAGGAATTGTTTCGTGAATATTTTTTTAATTTGGTTTATTTTGGGTTTAAACTAAGTGGAAACATTTCTCTACTCATCTATGCTCTTTACACTTGCTGACTTACAGTATTCAATAGCTCTATTAGGAAGTGCAGAGAAGAACTCTATCTGTCAATGTCAAGTTGTGGATGTTTGCTACTTTATTATGGCTAACCCTTTATCCTTTAGAGAGACTATTGACAAACATTACTTAAGGATTTTTGCATACTTGACCCTCATACCGTGAAGCAATGTTTGCATTCTGTTGTGTCTTGCGTGTCATCGCGAAAAATAGATCAGCATCTAATATTATTTTTCTGCTTGTTAATGTATTTTGCAGCTTATGGATCTGAGGATGAATTCAAAGTGGACAAGACTGACGATGAGGAGCATCTGCAGGATGATGGCCTTTCCCTCGATGGGCAAGATGCAGACTTTCTTTTCAATGACGAAGATGATGCACAAGATCATTATAGCTGCCAAAACTCTCCGTTTAGCAATGGAACTAACCCCGACGCTGGGTACGCTTCTCCCGTCAGCACCACAAGTGATCATTTGGTGGACCTTAAGACCACCTCTTCTTCCTTCAGCGATCAAGACAAAGTAGAGGAGAAGCTTGCAGAAAGTACTGAGACCATTAATGGCATCTCACTACAAGACAGTCTGGCAAAAATGAAAGCTGTCTATGCAAACCTTATCTCAGATGCCTCCTGGTCCAGCATCGCTCTGGACATGCTGAAAAGTAAACAAGAGAACAATATCGCAGCTAGCAAAAGCAGCAGTAGCGATCATAAAGGGAGCAATGGATTCCTGAGCAGTCACAGCTCAAGCAACATCCATGTGAAGAGCAGATGTAACAGTAACAACACCCCAGCCACCACTAATACAACCACCAGCTGCACCACCGCTAGAATGGTGTCCACTAACAGCACCAGTGGCATCAGTGTAAGTTCTGGCAACACAGGAGGATTAGGATATGACTGGCATCAGGCAGCTTTGGCTAAAACGCTGCAGCATACGCCGTATCAGCTCCTTCCCGAACCCAGTCTTTTCAGCACTGTGCAGCTCTACCGACAAAACAATAAACTTTATGGCCCAGTATTTACTGGTGCCAGCAAGTTTCGGTGTAAGGACTGTAGCGCAGCCTATGACACTTTGGTCGGTCTTACTGTGCATATGAATGAAACCGGCCACTACCGCGACGACAACAAGGATTCAGAGGACGATCGGAGCAAGAAGTGGTCCAAACCACGGAAGCGTTCTTTGCTAGAGATGGAAGGAAAAGAAGATGCACAGAAAGTTCTTAAATGCATGTATTGCGGCCACTCCTTTGAGTCCTTGCAAGATCTTAGTGTTCACATGATTAAAACTAAACATTATCAGAAAGTGCCTCTGAAAGAACCAATGCCAGCACTTACCTCAAAGCTGGTACCCCCAACCAAAAAAAGAGCATTTCAGGAGTTGATGTCTCCAAGCTCACCGGAGTCTGTCTCATCTGGCACACTCTTGGGAGAGTCTCCCAAAGACCAAAAAGTTGCAAATCCTTATGTCACTCCTAACAATCGATATGGTTACCAAAATGGTGCCAGTTACACATGGCAATTCGAGGCACGGAAGGCACAAATTCTAAAATGCATGGAATGTGGCAGTTCACATGACACCTTGCAGCAACTTACAGCCCACATGATGGTCACAGGACACTTTTTGAAAGTCACAAATTCAGCTTCTAAAAAGGGTAAGCAGTTAGTTTTTGATCCTGTAATTGAGGAGAAAATTCAGTCCATTCCATTGCCTCCCACTACCACACGACTCCCTCAACCCAATGGTAAGGCACAGCTTGACTCCCCTTTGCAGCCTTCCAGCCCTGAAGAGAAGCATGAGGAAAAGAAAGATGAGGAAATAGTGGAAGAGAAAATTGATGTAAGTGAACCAGAGAAAAAAATTAAAGAAGAAAAAGATGACCCTTCAGAAAAACCAGATAAACCTGCAAAGGCTAGATCCTACCAGTATCTAACAGAGGAAGACTTAGAAGAGGCTCCTAAAGGAGGCCTAGACATCCTTAAATCTTTGGAGAATACAGTTTCAAGTGCGATCAGCAAGGCCCAAACAGGAACGCCAACCTGGGGGGGATACCCAAGCATTCATGCTGCCTATCAGCTCCACGGATCTTTGAAGTCAGCCATGCCTTTGTCTGCACAGGTTCAGCCATTGTTCATCAGCAACAGCTTGAAGGCAGCGTCCTCTGATATAGCCTCTCTGATCCATTCACCAAACAGCCCCTCTTCATCTCCAAGTCACAAGAGCAATGTCCTGGCCATGGAAGAGCTGGTGGAAAAAGTAACAGGAAGAAATTCCATAAAGAAGGAAAAAGAGGAAAAACATGCAGAGAATAAGGGTCGATCTGGGAAGTCTCCATTGCCAAATTCTAAGGACAAGCAGGTTTCGCCCAATCCGGAACACCTCTCAAATGCAGTGAAAATCTCAGCAGTCGAGGATCAGGCTGATCCAAGAGGTAAAGAAGGAGAACAGACGGAGACTAAAACAGAAATAAAGATAAAAACTGAGGCCGAGTCCCCAAACAAACCTGTAAGCAATGGCTGCAATAATCTGAACATCATCACTGATCACTCACCTGAACAGCCACTCGTCAGTCCTCTCAGTGCGTTGCAGTCTGTCATGAACAACCACTTGGGGAAAGCTTCAAAAGCAGCCACCCCCTTTTTGGACCCATTTACAATGCTTTATAAGATGGGCAGCTCAGCTCCGACTAAACAAGCAGAGCCACTGAGTCAGTACCAAGACGAGGACAATGATCAGCCTATGGACTTAACAAAATCTAGAAACAGCCGTGACAGTGCAGCTGCAGGTACGCCTCCAACACCAAACAACACAAACAACGTAAAACCGACTTTTAAAACCTTTTCGGAGTCATCATCCCCACCTCTCAGAGAGAACGCTTTGATGGATATTTCTGACATGGTGAAGAACCTGACAGGGCGTTTGACGCCCAAGTCAACAACCCCCTCCTCTGTCTCTGAGAAATCAGATATAGATGGCTGTACTTTTGAGGACGGAATAGAGGAGCTGTCCCCCATACAAAGAAGGAAAGGCAGACAGTCGAACTGGAATCCCCAGCACCTCCTGATTCTCCAGGCCCAATTTGCATCAAGTCTACGAGAGACTCCAGAGGGGAAGTTTATAATAAGTGACCTGGGACCCCAAGAACGAGTTCACATCTGTAAATTTACTGGCCTCTCTATGACCACTATCTCACATTGGCTGGCCAATGTAAAGTACCAGTTAAAGCGGACAGGGGGCACAAAATTCCTCAAAAATATAGACTCAGGCCAGCCTTTGTTTTTGTGCAGTGACTGTGCATCCCAGTTCAGGACTCCCTCATCCTACATTCATCATTTGGAGTCCCACCTTGGGTTCACCCTAAAGGACCTTTCAAAGCTTTCCATAGATTTGTTGGAGCAGCAAGTGGTCACCAGAACAGAGGACAAGCCTTTCGGCTCTGGACTTACAGAGGAAGACACCGGCTCGCTCCATCAGTGCAAATTGTGTAATCGGACATTTGTCAGCAAACATGCAATCAAATTGCACCTTTGTAAAACACATGGGAAATCACCTGAGGACCATCTAGTTTTTGTGAAAGAGCTGGAAAAGTTGGATAAACAATGAAATGGTTTCAAGCTGAAAGTATGACAGATTACAGTTGCACTAAACCTAAAAGCTACAATCTGTCATCTTGGATAGTGCCACAACTGTATTAAGAACACGTGAAAACACAAGAGCTTTAATACAATTTGTGCAAGTATCCAGTTTATGAATGGCAGGAACTTGCACTGCAGAGGCTCCAAACCATGTAAAAAATTTCATTTCAGCTGACAGAGTTCCAGATTGGTGCAACAGACATGGCACTATATGGTCATTGACTGATTGTTGCTTCTCAAATGCACTGCATTTTATCTGAGCCTTGAGGAAAGGTCCATCCGTTTTAAAACTGGTCCAAGCTCTTTGTCACTGTTTGTAAGTCATCCTTTTTGAGTAAATATATTTCAACACAACTTGCATATTATTTATGAAGGAGTGTGTGCATGTTTTTTTAATGGAACGCAAGTTAGTACGTCAATGTCTGATTAAATTTCAGCCATGATGTCAAAACCGATGTCCCTGCTGGTAACAGCAGTTTATATAAAGTCGATGGGGAAAGATTGTGTTCCAAAATGTTATGATGATTTCAGCACTTTCAGTGACTGTGAACAGATGAAGAAATTTAAAAAAAGTCCCTTTTTGCATTTAGCTTCATTTAACTATAGTTTGGGAACTACAGTTAACATTTTCTATTTGACACTTAAACACCAAGCTGTCAAATGTTTTGAGTCTGTTTTTCGCTTTAAATAAATCCTGGTTGTTCAACATGTACAGTATTTGCATTAGTGGGCCACTGATCTTATTATTGTGGACCTACAGTTGTAAAGTTGAAAACTTATTGTATGAATAATCAAGTACATGTATGTCAGCATATCTTGCTCTTTACAGTTCAATATTATTTGTACTGTGTGTATTTTTACAATGTTATTTTCTAGACCAATAATGGGGGGAGTGTAAAAAGCTACAAAATATTGTTGGACCAAAAATGTCCTTTTTTTCAGTGAAAAGTAGGTCCCTCAAAGTGGTTTACATAAAATGATTTTACTGGCATTTGATCTGATGCCTATGACTGTAAATAAGATTGAAAAAAAATGCTCTCCCATGTCAGATTTCCAGGTTTTGTTGATAACCCAGTTATTCTGAATGGCATTCTTTTATCTTCAGTTGTTAAATAAACGTAATGTCCTCAAAGAAAATACTGTTTTTTGTGTGATTTTTGGAATTAACTGAGATAAGTGCGCATTCCTTTTTTCCCCATATTTTCAACTCCAAACACTTCAACCTATGATTAACTGTTGTTTGACTCTAAGGCACAGCACTTTTGTTTTGTGTTTGATTTTGTATTATGCATATATGGCATTTTTGTTAATATTTGGTAGGTTTTCCTTTATTCCTTTAGTGTTTTCACCACTTAGGCTAGCATCCATATAGCTCTTAACAGTGTTGTACCCAAAAGACAAATTAATACTAACTATCCACTGCTGAATTGCAGAAGATTAAGATGTATTTTTTTTTTATCATTTTGGTTCCTTGCAGTAGTAGCTCTCAAGCTATTTACTACATGCTCTGTCAGACAGAAACATGCTTGAACCATGACTGAAGAACTTCCAATCTCAAAAAGGGTAAAAGTCATGGAAGATAAAGTAAACCACTGCTCTCAGTTTCATTTTAATCTAAACATGTCAGTAACGTTATGTTAAAGCCTCTAGAATTTTTACTGCACCAGTACTGTGATTGCGTCTGGGATAAAAGAAAATGGCACTTAATATCTTATATATTATATCATGGGCAATATTAAAGGCCTTCACAGAAACTTGGGATGCAGCTCACCTGATAGAAAATGTGATGTTTGGAAGTTCAAATCCTGACAGCCATTGTTCCAGCTCTGCGATTTTGCTGCCCACTAACAAATGAGCACTCAGCAACCTCAGAAACCAGAGCACAACATTACCTTTATATTAGTCACCGAATTATCAACTTATTAAACTTATTATTTAAACCTTTTTTGGCATATTTTTTACAAAATATTTTATTATCTGCATGAGCAGAATAGCCATTTTTAAACCTTTTTTATTTTGTGTCTGCAGCAAAAGAAAAACCCACTGCAAACTTTTTCTGTTTATCTGACTACTTAAAGAATGCTTATGGAAATTCAATTATTTCAAAACATTTGAGCAACTTTCCACATATTTATTGAGCTACGTTACAGACATGGCACACTTCTAAAAGTCTGAATTGAGTATGAGGTCCTCGGTTCAAGCCTGTGTGCACAAGTCATTTTAAATAGACACATAAACCCCTTCAGAGAAAAAGAAAACACAACAGGAAAATAATTCTTTTCTTTTTTTTTTTTTACTTAATAGTTAAACATAGAGCTGAGCTTTATAGTCAGCGAGTGAGACACCTGATAAAAGACCATGACATGTTTCCTCTGAAGGTATTTAAGTCGACATGCTCCCACCCCACGCAGCTCTTAAACACAAGCCTGAGGCATTTCTATCAAGAAACAAAAGATTTCAAGCCCCTTTCAGCATGCTTCTTGTGTGACAAGCTACGAAAAATACAGGTTCACGTTTGCTTTATCTTAATGCAGAGAAAGTTAAAGATTGTGTAACTCCAGGATGACGTGTTCAGCTGACACCGTTTTCCCTTTACCCCCAAAAAGTGTTTTATCGTCAAGATGCAGGGAAAATGTTCTTTTTTTTTAACCATAATTCTTTAAATCCCATTTTTTCAGTTGAACACCAGAAAATGAAAACCTGCAGGTCTGTAAAACGACGCAAAAATAACAGCAGTTTTTGAAATGGCCACTTTATACCGGCATCTAAAGTGAACCAGTGATCATGGGCCGCAAGTTACTATCCACAGTTATCCAGCAGGAGGAAAGACATTTACAGCCAGGGTGAAGATTTGTTTTAAATCTGTATAGGTCTTTTCATTACTGACAATTGCGTGGAGATAAATGAAAGCTTTAATTTACCCTTACATTTAGAGACTTGATATAATGTAATACTGTATAATGGGCAAGAACATAAACCATTGAGTGTGGGTTGAAACGTTGCACTGGTTTCCAGTCCTTGATAGAATGGCTCCAGTAAATGTTTAACATTACTACCTACATGGAACAAAAAGCAAAGCACCTGCACTTCAGAGGAACCTGATAATGTCAAATGAATAAATACCTCTGTCCAGACTAGTTTTCATCCCATGAATTGATGAACAAAGAACATTTCTCTTTTTGCCAAAGTGGCTAATGTCTGACTGCCTTAACATCAGAAATTTAATAGATTCACGAAGCAACTATTGTTGCATTGTGTTGTATGCCACTGTTTATTTCACTATGAAACACACCTTTACCTTTGTGTAATGCAATGACGTGCAAAAAGTATCTCATGAATTAGCTTTGTGTGTTATCGATATGCTTTTTAATCACATTAACCTGGCAAATGCAAGATATTCATTTTGGTAAAACAGGTCATGTTTTTCTCTTTCACATTCTACCATTACTGTGTGCTTTTCTTCACTCTAGAGCTGCAGAGCAGTTTCCTATCTAAAATATTTGTTACTTTGACCTTAGGCTTGCAGGGGCATTGTTGTATTTGTTTTCTCAGTTGGCTTGGTTACAGAACCCCATTAGAAACTGAGAGTTGCATCAAAATTAACAGAATATTGCAAATTATGAACCTTAGAGGAGCCAAAACACATTGAAGAAAAGGTTAATAGTTGCTTTGCATCATTTTTAATTTTGACCACAACATGTCGACCAAGTCGTTATAAAAACTGCCATTTTCCCATTGAATTTAAACGAGCCTATGCAGCTATACACCACACATTTTGTGACAATAAATCTATCATATTCTGACCAATGAATAGCAAAGATTTGTTGTGGACCTCAACACAAAGATATTCAGAAATAGATTCAGGCAATTCCCCAAACAGATCACGTTTTAAAGTTATTGTACAAAACAGTTATTGAAAGAAAATCTAAGAGTAGATTTTGAAGTGAAATCATCAGTTTTACTTTCAAATGAAGCAACAATACAAAGCAGCAATGTTCCAAATATTTTTTTGTGTGTTTTAGATTAGTTTTTCTTTCATTTTGAGCTGTTAAAGACCATGTAAAAAATATAAGCATTCATACATCAGTATCAGTTTTCTTTCATTCTAATGTATAACAATCAAAGAAAATATACTTAACGCGTCCATGCATTTAAACCTGTGCTTTAGCATTGTTTACCCAGTAACATTTTATTGTAAACACACACCACAGACATGTAGAAGCTTCAGATATGGGCTTAAAAACAAGTCATCTTGTCACAACAACAGCTACAAAAGATGCATATACGACTTTGTCAGGCGGTGGATGTGTTATCTTCTATGTTGTTTTTTTCATGAATCGTGAATGCTTCTCAAATAAATAAATAAGAAATATTCCCTCACGACGCAGAACTGCAAATCGGATCTAAAACGAAAGGCTGTTTACGACGAGAGGCGTCACGCTGCGGCCTGTTATCCGTTTATTTTAATCAACGTGGAGCAAATCAAGTCGCAGTGAGCTGTTCTGGTCCTGAGCAGGAACATCTGTAGCATCTGAACATCTGTAGTATCGCATGTCAGTCTGTGATGCCCACAGTGTTTGAGTCCATACGTATCGTGTGTGTGTGTGTGTGTGTTTGTGCTCCTGCTGACAGCGAGGATTTGTCGAATTAACCCCGTCCTCTTTTGCAGTTTTTGGGAGGGGGTCAATTTTGTGCTGTTGGTAGGTTTTGTGCAACGCCACCTCCTTTTCAAAGCACACGCTGTGAGTGAAAAGATTTCTCACCTCCACGGCGCCGTGACCAACCAGGAAGGCGTCCCAGAGAGGCCGGCAGCTGGACAGAGCCCCGTTCAGAGCCGTTGGACAAGAGACGATTCCGCACAATTTCCCTTTTAATCATCTCATAGCATCGGCCTGTTGATAATCCAACTCGACTTGTCAGCGTGTTTCTCTGTCATTCAGAGCCCTCACTTATCCGGATGCTGAGATT